CCGAAAGACCAACTGACGGACCTGGAGTGCATTCGCACGCAGCTCAAGCAAAACAGGGCGGTGCGGTCTAACATGCCACGCACTGTCCACAGAGATGCTGGCAGACAGGGTAGACAGAGCATGCCCTACAACGAAGAAGTCGATCGTGGACGTAGACGAACTGGTACGGCAGGTGATCGCAGCGGGCGCCATGATGACGGCCTTGACCTTCTGCACAAACCCCGTGGCCTCGACGGCGGCAGGTGAGTTGTTCCAATCTGCCGCAATGACCGTGAGCGGAGGCTGAATGATCTTGGCGCCGATCGCGCTGAGCATGGACAAATTCTTCTCACGCATGCCGTCATTGACGTGGAAATAGGCACACACGATGTTGAACGAGAAGCCAGGCAGGTCAATGGTGACCTGTATGGCACGATGTGGCACAATAGCCTTGCACGTCGGGTCGGTCCATCGCAAGCCAAACCCGTCACGAACAAACACTCCAACACCAGCCGAGCACCTCTGCGTCTTCGGGTTGAAGGACGACTCACTGATGAGGAAACGCCAGCCCAGGGCGCGCACAGCGGCCAGGGACTGGGGCGCTGTGAGCTCGGACAAGCCAAGCTCCTGGGCGCACACGATGACGCTGGTAGTCGTGGTGAGCCGCTCGCGTAGCGTGGACCACCCAGAGCCATTGAACGTCTCGATGAACTGTGTCGCCGTCGATGTCGGCGGCAACTTCTTCCTACAAATCGGGGGTAGTGGTAGCCTCATACACGACAACGGCAGGCCACAGACCCTCGGGTGTACTGCACCATGGTGAGTATCACCCCCGCCGCGGCTTCTTGGTGACGAGGCCGAGGGACTTGAACAACTCCTGGAGCTCCCGTTTGTCACCAGCAAACTTGGTAGTGGAGATGACCTGGGAGATGCCTTCCTCGTCGACGTCAATGCACTCATCATCATCCTCAGGGACGGGCACCGATTCACCACAGTCGGTGCCCTCGTCCACGACGGTTGGGCCAGCGGAGGCTGCCTGGGCGGCAGCAGCAGCACGCACAGCCTCCTTGAACTTGTCAAAGACAGGCGACTCCACCATGGCCTTGAGGTCGGCGTCGGCCTCCAGCACGGTGGTCGGGAGGTCAGGCAGCACGAAGGAGGTAGCATCACTCCCTTCAGGACGCAGGTCCTTAGGGCAAGACTCGCGCAGCTCCTCCTGGAGGGTAGCCACCAGGTCCTTGGCGGCCAGCACCTTGGCCCTGAGCTCACGGAGGTGCTCCTCAGCGGCCTCGACGACCTTGACCTGCGCACTGACGTCGGACTCGAGCTTCTGCTGGCGCTTGATCGCATCCTGCAGCTTGTGCCCGAGCGTGGTGTGGCGTGCAAGTTGTGGCTTGGCATCATTCCGAGCCTTGCGCGCCGCGGCCAGAGATTGCTCGGCACTGACACGGCTGGGGACGTCAGCGCCCAAGCCAGACTTGGCGAACTGGGCAACGATACCTTCCCAGCGTTGTACCTCAAGATCGAGCGGATCGGGCGGAGGCGCAGGCTCGGGAGGGGGCACAGCCTTGGACTTCTGGAGGGCGGCGTACTTGCGCTTGAGCTCGGCGAGCTCACGGGCGATGCCACCATCCACACTGCCTGGCGGTCCTGCCGCCCGCGCACTCCCAGCACGGCGGCGACCACCTGCAGCCCCAGGAGCATGAGACGGCCCACCGGCTTCCATCTGCTTGGCCGCCTTGCGCGCCTTGTCTGCGACAGACTGCGGGGCAGGGCGGCCGCATCGGCACCGAATGCGCGATGCATAGTTGGCGGACGCGCCGCAGGACGGGCAGCCCCAGAAGGGGCGGGTCGGTCCTGGCAGCACATCATGAGCGGGACTGGCCATCCAACCTGTGCGGGGGTTGGATGGAAGCGAAAGAAAAGGCTCGCAGGCGCGCTGCCGCTCCGAAGAATGGCACCTGCAAGGCGCGCGAGAAGCCTCGCGAGCCCGAAGCGGCTGCAAGGAGGAGGAGGAGGAGGAGGAGGAGGAGGAGGAGGAGCTCCAGGCTTTCGCCTCAAATTTGCGCAAGATCAAAAAATGGCGGGAGGAGGAGGAGGAGGAGGAGGAGGAGGAGGAGGAGAAGGGGGAGGAGGAGGAGGAGGAGGAGGAGGAGGAGGAGGAGGAGGAGGAGGAGGAGGGACGAGGAGGAAGAATGAGGAGAGCGAGCGAGCGAGCAGCCGAGCGGCGGTTGGAGGGCCCGCGGACGGGCGAAAGGCTCACAAAGGCCTCACCGTCACCGACCTGCGCCTGCACCACGGAGCCCGAAGGCCAGGACCGCGCTGCAGACACTGGGCGGTGGGGTGCGGCCCCTGCCTGCCCCCATCGGGGCGGCAGGCGGGGCCAGGGAACACGGAGCCTGCGGCAGGCCCGCGCTCACCAGCACGAAGCTCGCCACGGCGCGGAAGCTCGACTCGAGGGCTCCCAGCGACAACAGCACGTCGCAGCCGTTCACAAGGTCGTCGGTCGCCTGGGCGTCACCAGCGTCGCCGAAGTCACTGGTGCACAGCACGAGATTGACCCGCGCGCCAAGTACAGCGTCGAACCGCACCGCGCAAAACAGGCTGGGTGCGTTCAACCCACAGGAATCCAGGGGCCACCTGAGCTGCAATCCCGAGGGCCCCGGAAGGACAGCACATGCCTTGGCGACCGAACGAGTCCTCAATAGGGTCTTGCAACCGAACAAGTCGAAGGAACCTCTGGTAGACGACCACAACTCCTGACCTGGGATCAATCCCAGGCTCTCAAACATATGCTCATCATCGCTGGCGGCGTCTGAACCTCCATCACGGTCTGGCTGGCCCAACTGCAGGACCTGGTCATATGAAAGCGCATAAAATTTGAGGGCTGTGGGCGCATCGAGGCACTTGGGCTCAACCTCGGACGAAGACCCCCGACTGTGGAATGGCAGCGTCTTGCGCGTGAGCTTCCTCGTCTCCGAAGTTGACCTCAACGGGCCTTCGAAACTCACATGCGTCGTGGTAAATTGCGGATGCCTGAGGTTCAGGAAATGCCACGTGTTCTCTGCCACCCTCTCTTTCGATGGTCGACCAGGCCCTCCGCATCCAGGCTTTCATGTAAGTCAGTCTTGAAGGACTTCCAGCAAAACGTGCAACACACCAAGCTGAACTCCAGCCCAGAAGCGCGATACTCAACTATGAGGCGTGCAGTCACACATACCATAGCTCTGCAAACTGAGGCACTTGCTGCACCACCTTCTCGGTCGCTTCGTCATCATCCCCAGCTACGGGGACAATGTGCTAACGCAACTCCTCGCTTTGGGCGTGGAACATACACGCCAAGTCTCGCAAGGAGCTCGAGCAACAGTCGGTGGAAGCGCCAACAGCCCTTCACGAAAGAGACCTGTTGCTCGGGTGGAAGATGATGCCTTGCTCCGCATTTGGCCCCACTTGTCTGCCTCCTCGTTGCCGTCCTTCTGAACATGTGAGATACGTCCTTCCCGAACGTCGTTCAGCGTAGAGTGGCCTTTGGCGTGGACGTAGCACTGGTCCCAGAAATCCTCCCTCATCTTGGTCACCTTCCAGATGTGAGCTCAGGCGCACTTGGCCCCCGTCGCACACTCGAGGTCCCGACAACATGCGAGTGAGCTCTTGCAGTCCGAGGGGAAGGTCCACGTGCTAAGCAGCAACCTGCTGGCCTGGCATATCGCGTAACCCTCCCCGTCTTTGGCCACTTGCATTGGGCCGATCTGTCTCGGCACCGAGCCACAAGCACGTCCAGTACTCCTTCTTTTGTCGTATGCAATGACAGCCCACCCCGCAACTCTGAGCTCGGGTATGTCCGTCAGAATGCCGCTGCCGTCGACGAACACGTAGCCGTCCTCGACCGAAATCACCCCAGCCTGGTCAACGTCAATGAAATCAATTTCCGCCGATCTGGGCTCATTAGAGAAAGCCTGCGCTGGACTCTGCAAGATCCCTCTGGCAAGCTTATCCTGCGCGGCATGGGACAGCTTGCCTATCTCCGCTGCTGGTCGCCGAACGAAGTCTGGGATCAACGTTTGCCTCTGTCCAGCATAAGCGTCGCAGCAAAAGTAACTGAAACAACGTTTCAGGAGCAATGCCACATCTAGAGCACAAGTGGCTTTGATCTGGAAATGCACGTGGGACTCGAGCCTGACACCAGTGTCCACCTGAACAGAAGCCTCTCAAATACCTCCTCTCATGTGGGGACAGCTTCTTTGCCGTCATGGCCGACTGGAACGGTCTCCACGACATGTCACCGAGCCTACGACCTTCCTCCTCACGGTGTAGAATTCGCAGCGCGTCACGACTGATGTGTCTCTGCACTCCTTTGTTGACAATGTCCGAGAAAGCTCCGCCGGGTAGAATGAGGTACTCCAGCTCCATCCTTCGACCTCCTCCGCGGAAGCCAGGGACCACCCAATCCTGTGCAGCGAGACTGACAAGGCTGAAACTGGACTCCTGACTTTGTTCCAAGCATGAGGGCCCTGCAGCAATGGGCGAGCCTTCACAATCAAATCACTCACCAGCTTACTTGAGACTATCCCCGCTGCCAGAATCGTGATGAAGTTCTGTATCGCATCAGACGTTGCTATCACGAGCGGGTCCGAGCGCCACCCGCTCTCTGAGAATGGTAGGGCGAGGCCGACATGGGCCCCTGGTTTGAACGTGCCCGCGGCGTTCAGGAAGGACACTCAGAGCTGCTGTATGCGACCATTTTGGACCCCAGCAATACTGCAACAACAGTAGCCTTTGGCAAGCACACCCGCACGATGGACCGCAGAGCGTTTCACCCTTCGGCCTTGCAAGGCCTGAATCCGATCACCCTTCCTCATGGCCTCCTGGATCCTCCTCAACTGGGTACCTATACGCCGATATCGACCGTCGACAGCGTCCCCTGCGAGATCCCACATGAGGAGGAGGAGGAGGAGGGGGAGGGGGAGGAGAAGGAGGAGGAGCAGGAGAACGCGAGAAACGACGGAGGACGGACGGCGGGCCTGCAGCCCGGTTCATCGGCCGCGTGGCGTCGCGGCGGCGGCGTGGCCGGAGCGGGCTGCCCCTGAGGGTCCTGCGCGCGTGCAGCGGGGCGACCGTCGCGGGCGGGGCGCGGGCGCGGGCCGAGGTGAGCATCGTTCAACCGATCCCTATCTCGGCGGGAGCTCGCAACGACCCGCGCAGCAGCGGGTCGGCTCGACATGCGCACCCTGGGGGCACGCGCGGGTCTGCAGGGGGCCCTTCTCCTGCTCCCCGCGGGCGCCTTGGCTCAGGCATGGCGGGGATCTTGCCCATCTGCCTAGAGGTAGAACGGGCACAGGTCACATCTCGGCAGCGAGCGAGGCGGGGAGGTGTGAAGGAGAAGACCTTCCCAGAAGGCGGCGGGGCTTCTCAGAGGACCTCCAGGCTTTTCACAAGTTTTTTCTTTGTCTTCGGGGAAGGCTTGCAAAACTTCTCAGAGGGCCGAGGGGCTTGCGAGTCTTCTGAGAAGCCCCGCCCCCTCTCATGCCCCCCCCCCCCCTGACCGCCGACTATCACCACTGGTGTGGCCTGGGCCCAACTCCCGGGGATCTAGGCTGTTCCCCCTTCTTTTTTTGCTAATGCACACTCTTAACGCAGCCTCAGTTAGACTCATGGGGCCCCCTCGAGTCTCAAGCATGGCTTGCCCTGCGCGGACGAGCAGACAACTGACGCAAAAACAAACCACTGTAATCGTTGTGTCTCGAGCGCGGCTAGGCTGTTCCCTTCGTGCTTCCAGGGGCCTCTCCCAGCTGGGATGGTGGGATGGGGGGGTGGGGACAGGTTCAACGATACAGTTGGGGCCGATCCACAAGAAACCTTCCACAAGAAACCCAACCCTGAGACCCTGGTGTGGGACATCACGCTTTCCATAGAAAAACCATTGAAACCCAAGAAACCCAGGGCACCCTGGAGGCAAGCAGGGTGTTTCTTGTCATAGGTCTCCACTGTACTGCAAAGGGGGGGCCCCTGACGCTCACGAGTGGCGAGCATGTCCAAATCCACGGCCTCGCAGTCTGAACTTCCCCTTCAGCAACAAGCCCTCTAGTGAAAGCTGCAAATGGGGACCCCAACGGCATCGCATTCTGAGTGGACCCCAGTACGGCAGCGAATGGACGTCCCCCCAAAAAAAATTTCTCCGGCGAAATGCGCGTCGATTGGCGACACAGCACCAGTACACTCGAATGCCAATGTCGAATGAACACGTACAGATCTTTTCAATCGACATGTCTGGGAGGCGTTCTGTCAATGACCGAGCCACTGGGGGTGGCGGCCCCAAGGACGCTCACGAGCGGCGGACGTATCCGCATCGCGGTCTGGATTCCGAGGTGCGCTCCCGCGGGACGCGGTCGCATGGAGACGTTCCGCCCGGGGCACCCGCGAAAAAACGCCCCGTATCCTTTGGGTCGCGGCCCAAGGGCCCGGCCCGCGAGGCCTCGGATACAGATATGTCGGGAAGACGCAAGACTCGGTCTCGGCACGGGCTCGAGTCGGCCAGCATCGGCACGGAGTCGGAGTTGGATCGGATCGGCCGCGCCAGGATGCACAACAACGCCACGAAAGCATCGGGCCGAATCGGGGGGCGTCCCCAGACGTCCAGTCCCCAGATTATGAGATTTGGACGCTGTGCTTTTTCTTTCCACACCAGGTGGATCTCTGGGGCCCTGGTAGATTGATCTGGCTCGGGAAATGCCGCAGAAAGATTTGCTCTACGGCTCCGGTGGTGATTTGTCGCGATGTCGTATTGTTTCGCGACGTCGGATCTCCGGCGATGTTCAGTGTCCACAGACATCCAACAACCCCGAACGACCACGCGCCACAGACATCCAACGTCCCTGGAGATCCGGCCCCAGACACCCAACATTGCGAACGAATTCACGACCCGGGACCGTCCAGACGGGTCGGCATGAAAAGCTGATCCCGAGGAAGGGCTTCAGACATCCTAGGGGTCCACGCTGGGCACAGATCGCGGCGTCGGGAGCCTGGGTCCCAACGCCCCCGAGGATCAAACTTCGAGGGTCGAGGCTGCTGGGCGCCTTCCGCTCCTCGTCGGCTCCCCGGAGCGTTCTCGTCGGCACAGGCTCGGGTCTTTCTACTACGTAAGTCACGTGCGGGGACGGGTAGCGGACAAGGCCTTGACTCCTACTCCTACTCCCGCACCTCCTCCTCCCCCTCCCCATCCCCCTCCTCCTCCTCCTCCTCCTCCTTCTCCTTCTCGTCCTCCTCCTCCTCTGCGCAATTCTCCACTCCTCGTTCTTCTCTATAGATTCGTCGTCCGTCTCCCTCTCCTCATCCTTCCCCTCCTTCTCCTCCTCCTCCTCGTCATCATCTTCCTCCTTCTTCTTCTCCAGCACCTTCTCCTGCTCCTGCTCCAACCTCTGCTCCTACTTCCCCATCATCATGCTCCTCCTCCTCCTCCTCCTCCTCCTTCTTCTTCCGCCTCCTCACGATCCCCCTCATCCTCCCCCTGCGCCCCGTCTCCATGCTCCGTCGGCTCCTCCTCCACCTCCGCCTCCCACCATCCTCCTTTCTAGCGTTGGCCAGACTCCAATCCACATAGACTTCAGCGTCAGAGTCCCCCCATCCTCCTCCTCCGGCTCCTCTTCGCCTCGCATGCCGCCTGACCCGCCGTCTTCTCCTCCCCCCCTCCCCCGTCCTGTCCCCTCCCGCTTCCTCTTCGTGCTCCCCCCACTCCCCTGTCCTCTCCCCTCCCGCTTCCTCTTCGTGCTCCCCCCATTCCCCATCCTCTCCCCTCCTCCTTCCTCTTCGTCTCCAACCCCTCGCATTCGCACCCCTCCTCTTCCTGTTGGTGCTCCCGCTCGTTCCTCGTCCTCCTCTCGCCATCCTCGCCCATTTCATCAGCGTCCAGTGCTCGTCGTCGGCGTTGTCCTCTTTCTCCCCTCCCAGACCCTCCTCTCCCTCTAGCCCCCGAGGTCCGTCCCCGCCATCGCCCTCGTGGTCGCACCTCCCCTTTCCTCCAGTCCTCCTCCTCGTCGTCGTCCTCCTCCTCCCCGTCGCCATCGCCGCCGCCGCCGCCGAACTGCGTCGTCGCCGTCGCCCCGGCGCCGTCGGCGTCCTCGCTCGCGCCGTCGGCGTCGTCGCCGCCACCGCCGCAGAGCAGCCGCCGCCGGCGTCACACCGATATCCTCTGCGGGGTCCCCGGTGGAGGCCGTGGCGCTGGGCGGCCCAGCCTCTCTTGGCGCGGGCGCGGGCGCGGCGGCGGCAGCGGCGGCGGCAGCGAAGACACGGCGGCGGCGACGACGACAGCGGCGATGACGACGGCGATGACGACGGCGGCGGACAACCTCCTGGCCGTCCGCCTCCATCCTCGTCATCTCCTCCTCCCTCCCCGTGCCTCCTGCCTCTTCCCTCCTGCTCGTCCGTCCAAGCGCCTCCAACCCGCACCCTCCCTCCCTCCCTCCCTCCCTCCCTCCCTCCCTCCCTGCTCCTCATCTTCTTCACCAAGGTTCCGTGTCTGTCACTCAGGGTCGGACCCCTGAAAGCGCGGCGACAACGGCGGCGCCGGAGACGGTGACGACCGCGTCCTCCTACGCCTCGTCGCTGGCGTCCTCGTCCTCCTCTCTCTTCATCACTGCTCCTCATTCCCTCTTCCCTTTCAATCCGTCCTCCTCGTATTCCGTTCTTCCGGGAGGACGTGGGCATATCCGGTGTAAAACCAGACGTGGTTGAAGAACCAAACCCCCACGTCGTGATCTGTTCGGGAGGTCTGTATGCGTAGCCGCGGAAGGGGGACGGGGAGAGCGGCAAATTATGTGAAGCGAAGCGAAGCGAAGCGAAGCGAAGCGAAGCGAAGCCCGCGTACAAGAGTCCACGCGAGGGGACTAGGCGGGGTGGGGGCCGGAGCGCCCCAGGAAGCATTACAGATGCATTGTCGTGAAAAGCTGTACGAAGTTCAAGGCCTGGCAAAAGACAGGAATCCAGCCTCATGGCGCTCCCACTCGGCAAATTATGTGGCAAAGGCATTGATTGGGGTGTCGAACCAGAGGCGCGCGAGCGGCTTCCAGGGATCCGCGGAGGCCCCCATCGCTGCCTGCTGCTGCTCCTGCTCTGGGGGAATCGAGCGAACAAATGGCTACCAACGTGGACCCTGAACATTGAGCCGTTGCACTGCGGATGTGGAAGGTTCGTGGTGCAACCTGTGTTGCGTAGGCTAGGTGGTGCAAACTTCGGGGAGACATACGACTCGGGTACGGTGGACTCGGGTTGGCCTGACGAGGCCATCATGAAAATGACAGCACTCAAGCTGAAATTTGACGCGAATTCGCGCCGCAAGCCTCCCACGAAAACCGGGCCGTCAAAATCCAGGACGCGCTCGCCAAAACTGTTTGGCAAACCCGAGTTCCAGCTTACTCTACCCGTACGCTTCCCCGAAAACTGTGTGGTGCAAGCTATGCGATGCAAGCTGTGTGGTGCAATATTTAGGTCGGGCATGACACCCTACAGGCGGATTTTGAACGAAGAATAATACATACTTTAAAATATTCCAGAATAGCTTTAAACTGCGCACAGAATCGCCCCCTGACTACTTTGGGACTATTTCATGAATATTCCCCATGTAGAGGGACACGCCCGACTTACTGCAGGCTCTGTGGTGCTAAGCTCTGCGCTGCAAAGTCCCAGCGGGCGCTCACGGGGCAGGCGGCCGCTCACGAGAGGCACCTTCGCAGCGCCCACGGGCGGGCTCCGGGCGAAGCCTCGGCACGCCGGCACACACACACACACGCACACAGTACACACGCAGCAACAGCACACACGCAGCACACACGCACACGCAGCACACGGGGCGCGCCCGCGAGGCGCCAACGGGCGGCCACCAGCTTGGCACCGGGCCGCCCCGAGACCGACTCGAGAAGCCCCAGTGCGGGCCCCGTGCGGGCAAAACCGGCAGCAGCTCGGCGACGAGCTACTGGCGGAGTTCGGAAACCCTGGCGAACGCACAAACGTTTCCATCTCTTGGAGACGCTTTTCTTGCTTCCGCCCCCTTCCGCTGGCCTTCCGCCGGCTTCTGCCGGCGGAGGCGGCTTCGTTCTACTTCCACCGACCTTCCGCCACCCTTCTGCCGCCTTCCGCGGCGAAAGAGATGACAACTCCTTCGATCCTCGAAGGCAAGGCCTTCTTTGGAACGCCTCATATGGGGGTGGGAGTGGCTTTCTGAGAATGAGGGCGGCTCATTTATGGGCGGGATTCTTCTTAGAAGAGACCAGGTGCTTCTTGGAAGCCTTCTAGCAAGGGCCCTCAAAGGTCAAAAGGGCTTCCATGAATCCCCCTGCCGCCTAAGAAGCTCCTCTCCCTCTGGACGGCCACCCCCATCGTGCCACCCCCCTGCGCGCGCCGGCAGCCATCCCTCGCCCAGCTGAACCCAGACATCCCCCCCGCCCCTGGGGGAGGAGGCGCGAGGTCCACGACGAGGGGTGGGGGAGGGCCGGGGCCAAAGAGGGCCAAGCAAGAGGGGGAGGGGAAGAGGGGGGGGGGGGGGTAGGGGGGGCGGGCCTCTCTAGGAATGGGGATGGAAGATGTTTGTTGTTATTATTGTTAATGGCCCCAAGATGGCCCCAAGAGGCCCCCCAAGAGGCTCCCAGGAGGCCCCCAAGAGACCCCCAAGAGGCCCCAAGAGACCCCCCAGAGGCACCCAAGGTGCTCCCAGAGGCCCCAAGATGGCCCCAAGAGGCCCCAAGAGGCCCCCAGGAGGCCCCAAAGAGGATCCCGAACGGCCCACAGAGGCCCCCCCGAGGCACCCAAGACGCCGAAAAGCCCCTCAGGACGACCCTCTACTCGCCTGGGCGTCGTTTCTGGACGGGCTGGTGGGGATACGCGAAGCGTCTAGAATTGTTATCATCATTCGTATTACCAGTATGATTATTACTCATGATAGTATTATCATTATCGCTATTATCATTACCATCAGTATTGGCATTATTCTTGTTATCATTATCATGATCATTCGTATTATGATTATGCTTATTATTATATTTACATATGCATTACGACTTCTGTTGCAAAAATTGGGGGGGATGGGGATGGAAGATGGGGATGGGGACAAAAGACCTCCCGGGGCGACGAGGAGCCTCCCGGAGGCTTCAAAAACAAAATTCGAATGACCTCTGGGGACCTCCGTCCTCGAAGCTCGGCCTTAGAGAGAAGCCCTCCAGGAGCCTCGATCGGCGAGGGGCAAGAAGGGGGGGGGAGGCAGAGGAGCGAGGAGCCATGAGATCCTGGCGAATCAATTTTTTCGAGCCGGACGTTTTTGCCTTTTTTCGGGCCCCGGACCTTCACAGATGGATCTAGCTCGGAAAATGGCCCAGAAAGATGGGGTCTGGGGCTCCAGTCGTGATTGCTCATGATGTCTCAATTTTTTCGAAACGTCGGATCTCAAGGAGGGCAGGCGGGGGAGGAGGAGCTCAGCAGGGGCGTGGTCCAGCATGGCGAACAGCAGGAGGAGTGAAGAAAAGGCACGGGCGTCGCCTCCCCCCCGCCCCCCAGCCCTCCCCCTCCTCGTTCCTGTCTCCCCACAACGACGGCGGCCCAAACGAGAACTACGCCGACGACGCCGGCGCCAAGGCATACGCCGAAAACGACGATTACGACGACGACGACGACGACGACGACGACGACGACGACGACGACGACGACGGTGACAGCGGCGACGGCGGCGGCGGCGGCCGCGACGCAGCCGCCGCCGCCGCCGCCGAACTCGAACTTTTGGGGTCTTGGGCCGTCACTCGTGGATGCACGTGTGGATCGCCTGGGGTGTGCGGTGTCCCATAACGATGTGGACGTCCTCTGGGGATCGAAGTCATCGCACGGTCCGACATCACACCGGTTCGGGATCCCTGCAAGGCCGAGGAACCAATGTGAATGCAGCGGTTTTTGGTCATCCGTTGCGGACCAAGTCGAGGCTGGGCTGCGGGAGCGCGAACTACAGTAGGAACTCGACCACAAGAACCCGTCCACCAAGAACCCAACCCTGAGACCCCAAGACGTCCATTGATTTTTGGTGTGGGAACGTCACGCTCTCCAGTGCAGAACCATCGAAACCCAAGAAACCCATGGCACCCCGGAGGCAAGCAGGGTGTTTCTTGGCATGGGTCTCCACTGTAAGCCTCCTGCAAGAGAAAGCAACGCGGGATAGGACGGCCGCAAAGAAGAGGGAACAAAACAGGCAGCTAGAAGAGGAAAGTGAGCATGAGACGCACCACCGCCATCTGAAGGGCGGAGGCGAAGCTGGGGGCCAGGGGTGGCGGTGTGTGCGTGCGTGTGCACAATTACCTCCTCCGGCGCCCTTACGAGGCACCGCGCGCGCTTGCAATCCCCCGCACACCGACTCGTCTTGCACCCCCCCGATGTAGTGGTGGTGCGTTTCGTTTGCTGCCGCTTTTGTTGCGTATACAAAGCACACGCATAATCCGTCGGGCGTCCGTGGGGAACGTGTTCCCATTCGGCGGTTCAAGATTGGGCGGAAGGCGGGGGGGTCTGGCTCCGGACCTCTGCATAGCGCGGCTGTTTGCCACAGTGCGTCCTGTGGATGAAACTCCACCTGCTTGAAGCAGGCGACAAAAACAGCCAAGATTGGGACGCGCAGAAACATACTAATACGATACGTCCTCCTTGGAGGCGCGGGCCCGACCCGAACACATAGTATACCCATCTTGTAGTATATCGATTCCCGAGCGGCGTGGCCAGAAAACGCCCGCCACGACGCATACACAATAAAACTTCTCTGTGCGCGCGTCGCCCCCAAGGGGGCGACGCACAGGTAGTATTAGTATGTTGGGGAGACGCCGAAAGATCTACTCCATGGGGGGGGGGATGGGGGGAGCGAGGGCCCGCACCGATCGGCAAAACAATGAATAAGAATACGTTCGCGTGCGGATTCCTCGGTGCACTGTTTCACCCCGCCCTCTGGCGCGCGGCACGCGCCATGGGGCGGCGCCGAAAGCGCCGCCAGGAGGGGGATCGGCATCAGCCCGACATGTCCCTTTGCACCTGGGCAACTTTCTGCTGATTGGAGGCGCGCGCAAAGACATGGTGCGAGAGGGGTGGCCTTCTAAGAAGGCGGGGGCCTTCTCAGGAAGGCCTAGGAACTTCCCTAATAAGGCTCCTGGAAGACCTCCGGGTTTTTTTCAGAAAGCACCTGCCTTCCAAGGATCCTCTCGCTTTCTTGAAATCCCCCCCCCTCCCCTCGCCCCACCCCCTGGTGCGCGTCGCCGAGCTCATGCCTCTTTTCATTCGCTCGAATATGCCGCGAGGCGGAGAAACAGCCGCCGCGGGCCACGCCTCGAGGTCCGCATCAGCATAGCCGTCGCCGCGTCGGCGCCGTTGGCGGATGTTCAAGGGACGGCCTGCGGAACCCGTCGCCATTTCCCCGGAGGCGGCCCTGTTGCCCTGGATCGCTTCCGCATGGCCCTGGGGCGCGGTAGCGGCCCCGGGAGGCCGAACTTTGAGAGACACCTTTGGCTGAATGTTCCTAGATGTTGGATATCTGGAGGATATCGATATCGCGGGCCTCGGAGGTCGAGGGTCGGGCGCCCGCCCAGCCCCCTCCTCAGTGGAGGGGCGCGACCTTGCCGAAGAGCCTCACGACGTCGAGCGCCGCCTCGCCCTCGAGCTCCCCGTAACCATGGCGACGAGCCGTTTGAACTCCAGCCCCCTGGAGTTTGCGCTGCCGTTCTCCTCGGGCGAACACCTGGCTCCTCGACTGTCTTCAGCAGCTCCCTCATCTTCACGTACTCGAGATCCTCCTGGGGTTCTCAAGTACCCAGCGTCCTCCTCGTCGCTGGTTCTGACTCTCGACGAACCTCTCCTCACGTTGGAAGAAGGCCTGAGGCCGCTGGGCCTTCGCAACAAGCCAACTGGAACTCCCTCTCCGCCATCGAGTCGAAGACATCCACCAGGACTCGCAGCGAGTTCCTCTGCTCGCAGTGCTTCTCCTCCTGGTCGTTGACTGGCGTCCCGACCGCGCAGAGGCAACGACTCTGCCTTCTGCGCCCGCGGTTGGGGGAGCGGAGGCCGAATCTCCTGCGTCCCCCCAGACTGAAGCCAATCAGAACATGTGCCTAGCTATGAGAGCAGACAGGAGCTAGCTTGTGAAACATTTGATTTGTTTCCCTTCTTCATTTCTTAATGTGTTTGTGCTGTTTTTTGTTTTTTGTCCTCTATCTCTCTCTCTCTCTCTCCAGAGAGCCCGTTCTCCTGAAGCAGGCACTTCCTATTAAAGTGCCTCGAGGGCCCCAGGGATGGCATTCCTTCACAGGGGCCTGCCAATCATAAACACGCTACAGGAAAACCTGTCTAACACAGGGGGCAGCAGACCATAGCACATACAAGCCAGAGGGAGGAGGAAGAGGAGGAGGCGGAGGAGGAGGCGGAGGAGGCGGTGGCGGTAGCGGTGGCGGTGGCGGCGGCGCGCTGCGCAGGGAGCCCAGCCCAGGAAGCCTGGTTGAACTCCGCCGACCCTGTCGGCGTGTGTCAGGGGTTTTTCCGTTTCAGGTTTGGCTTTTCCGTTAGAGTCGTCGTCTCCCTCCTCCTCCGTTCCGTTTGCCTGGGCCCTCTTCCTCCTACGCGCCGTCCAAAGCAACATTGAACAACCTAGGAGTGGAATCGAAGGGACGCCCCTTCCCTTTGATCCCTTCCCCGCGCCAGGAGCGGGGCTCCCGAGGGGGGTCCCGGTGGGGGGGGGGCGTCGCCACCCAGATACGCTTCCCCCCCGCGCGAGTCCGAAGCCCTCGCGCGGCCCCCGTGCGGTCCCGGAGGCCCCGCCCCTCGACCCCAAGAGGCTCCCACGAGGCCCTAGGAGGTGCCCAAGAGGCCCCAAGAGGCCCACGAGAGGTCCCCCGGAAGCCCGAAGAGGCCTCCGAGAGGCTCCCAAGAGGCCCCCAAGAGGCTCCCGAGAGGCCCCAAAGTTCCTCCCCAGAGGCCCCCGAGAGACTTCCGAAGAGACCCCAAGAAGCATCTCTGAGGACTCTGGCCCACGTCAGCGTCGTCGTCATCGTCATCGTCATCGTCATCGTCGTCGTCGTCGTCGTCGTCGTCGTCGTCGTCGTCTCCCTTCAGGGTCGGCGGCACCAGCAGTAAGGCCCTCGCAATACGAGGCCGGCACCCATACACAGGACCATGCTTGGACTCCCTTCAGGCCCCGCTCCAACGTGGTACAGTGCATGGTTTTGTTTCGGCTCTGAGGGTCGAACAACTATGCGCCCTAGCATTCCTGGGTCGAGGATCGACGACTCCTCGGGAAACGCCCAAGCGGTACGGTGCACACAAGTCGCACGCGGATGAGTGAGCAAGTCCTTGCCCGCCCGTGCAGTGGCCACACACCAGGCCAAAGGAAGCGGCTCCGACCAGGGCGTGCGCAGCAGGGCGCGCCATGGAAAGCGGCGAGCTCCGTCGAAATACTGGGCGCGCGTCACGCCTAAACAGTCCTCTTCCCCCAAGACGACTGAGGAGGAGGAGGAGGAGGAGGAGGAGGAGGAGGAGGAGGAGGAGGAGGAGGAGGAGGAGGAGCGAACGTCCCAATTGGAAAGAGATGAAGGAGGAGGAGCGGGCGTCCCCATTGGAAGGAAGAGGAAGGGCGAGGAAAAATGGCAAGATAAACAAGACCCGGCGCGCCGCCTCGCTGGGCTCCGCCGCGGGCTCCTTCCCGCAGGGTTCGCTGGCGCCCTCCACGACGGGGCACCCAGCGCTGACGTCGTCTCGCGCGCGGGCGCACGCGGCACGGGGGGGGGGCCTCCCCCAGGAGCACAACGGTGGAGGCATTTGGTAGGGAAGCATTTGGAAAAGAACCCGGGGTCTGGAAGCCAGCGGGGCACTAACTGAGCCTGGGCTATGAATGTCACCGCCGCCCGCATCAGGTACGGAATCATTCAGGGTCTGGAGCCGTCTGGCCACCGTCATTAACCAACACCCCTGCAGTACAGTCAATCAGTATAATAAGGACGCGCGAGAAGGATGCAAGGGCCTCGGAAGGCCATGCCGACGCTTTGCGAGCGGGGCGCAACCAGCGAAAACGGCAAAGGATGGGCCGAAGGGGAAGGATGGAAGGATACTTAACCTTGGAAAATCGCTGATCCTTGCTATGCGGGGCGACTGTGATTAGCCACATGCAGCTGTCTTCATCCCCAGACCTCTGGCGACCGACAAGATCGGGACGTCCTGCGCGTCGCAATGCTCAGCGCCCTTGAGGCCAGCCTCGGACCCCCAGGGCCATCAACGAGAACGGCTCGGGAGACGAACGCTGGAACTCGTTAGCCAGAACCGTCTTTTGACTGCCCCCGGTGGCTTTGCGACGGGCCCTGGAGACAGAACGCAACGAAACACCTGCGGGCCGATGGCGTCCCCCAGCGCATCTGTCCAGGAACCCTCTGGGGGGAAGGGGCCCGCAAAGCGGCGGAGGATTCTCCTCCTCCTCCTCCTCCTCCTCCTCCTCCTCCTCCTCCTCACATCGATCACAGCCAGCCCACCCTTGCCCCCTCGCTCGCCCTTCTCCTTGTACTCCTCCCTGTCCTTCCTCTACTGCCCGTAAGCCGTCTGGGTCGCGGCCCTCGCCGAGACCCGAGACCCTGAATCATCGATTGCACGCCGCGGGCTTTGTCCGCGCGCGCATCGCTGCGTACAGCATGTGTCCTGAACCGAGCACCCCCCCCTCATCATCCTCCCTCCTGCTACCATCCTGGTCTCCCTCGTGGCAAAAAGTAGAGGCCTCCGAGATGGGGTCGAAGTAGATGGGGTCGGAGGATCGCGCCGCATCGCCGATGCGTCGCCCCTGCATCATCGATGTCCTGTCGGCGTCAGCGATGTATCGGCGACGTTGGCATGAAGAACATCGGGCTCCTCATCGAACCACATCGCCGATACATCGGCGATGCGACGCGATCCCCCGACCATATCTATTTACTCGGACCCCGTCTGTGAGGCCCAGAAGCGCTGACTACCCAAAACTTCCACTCCGAAGAACATGTAAAGACGGCCAGCTTCTCCACAAGCTCGGTGTCCAGAGGCCTGGTTCGGGCCCTCGAGGCCGTCAGGAGACGACCTGGTGGGGCAAACATCTCGCCCTGTGGTAGTGGAAGAGGTAGAGGTGCCCGGGGGAGCACGCATCCGATACGAAGAGTAAACACTACAATGGGAGCTCGACCTCAAACAAAAATCCACGAGAAACCCAACCATGAGACCCCAGTACGTCCACTGATTGTTGGTGTGGGAACGTCACGTTTTTCACAGCAAGACCACTGAAACCCAAGACTCTCAATGCACTCTTGAAGCAAGCAGGGTGTTTCTTGACATGGGTTTCCACCGTAGGATCAGGAAGTGAGGGAGGCTCATACAAACGCGCGCAGCGGTCGGCCATCGCGAGTCCTGGAATGCCACGTGGGGCGCCCACGCTCATTACAACATGTTGCATCCTCGGGGGGCCTTGTCTGTTTCGTCGCGGCCCTATCCGCGTCGAATCCGTATCGAATCCATGTTGGACTCGTCGGATCCGTGCCGATTCTGTGCCGAATCTGTGTCGAATCCGCGTCGAGTCCGCGCCGAATCCGCGTCGAGTCCGCATCGAGCCCGCGTCGAGCACAAGAAAAGACACAAATTTTGGGGACAGGCGGGGTCCCCCGAAGATGCAACGTAAAATATAGTAACAACTGCCAGGCAGGGTGCGCTCCCATGCCCGGCAGATCGAGGAGCTAACATCAGCAGCTCGTGACGGCGGAAACTACCGGGCTGCGATGCCAAACAACTGAGATTCCAAACAACAACATGCCAGACGACACCATGGGAGCTCCGCCTGCTGATGCGCACTGATCCGCCACCGCGCCAACGGCACCCTGGGGCGTGCTGTGCAAGGCAGATTCGTTATCATAAGGCCTCTATACACCGACGCCTTCTCGGGCCCTGCATTGAAATTTACACAGGAGAGCAGATCCTGGTGCGTACGGGATCATGGTGTATACATTTTCATGTTGTCTCCCTGGGAAGACTGGGACAAATGTACACCACACCACCCCGACGTCCTCCCCGACCCCCGAAAAGTCCTGGTATTGAAAAACAGCCCGCCACTGGTTATACATATATGTTCCAATGTCCGAACATATTCGCTATCAGGCCACTTCCAGAAGCCATGGGTGCTCCGGCACTGGGCCCTCTGGGAAACTCCGACGCTGCCTTCGCTACCTTCCGCCCGAGCTTCCGCCGGCCATCTGCCCTGCACCTCCACGGGCCTGTGCCCCGGCCAGCCCAGGTGGGCCCCCGGTTGTCATAAACCCGATGTCAACCCGGTGACAACCCGTTCATTTGTTTTTTTCATGACGATTTGAGCAGGGACCGACCGTTCTGGCATTCCTATAGGACAACCACGACATCTTCATGGAATCCCGAAATGTTCTAAGTGCGAAAACACTGTTCTCAGAACATTAGCCCGACGCACGAAAACAAAACAATCTCAGCCAGACATAATCTGAGAACATGTCGTGCAAACCAGAAGAGGTTCTTAGAACATTCTTTGGTGGGCCTATAGGCAAGCCAGGACGCATCGCCACTGCTTGGCAGACGTCTCGAACCCTTCCCCAGGGCCAGCATTTCATGCGTAGTCCTTGTTTTGACGGCTCCAGGGCCCAGCGCGGGCCCCTGAAGACCAAACATTTAAGAGCCTAGCCTCCATCCTGTTATGAAGACATTCCTGGAGGCCTCGCGCGGCAACTTGAGACCCGATTTACGTCGGATCCACGTCGGTTCTACGTCAGGTTCACGTCGGACTACGTCGGATTTACGTCGGATTTGCGTCGGACTGACGCCGGAGCATCGCGCGTCGACCCATAGCTTACGGAGCTGACGTGTGGACTAGAAAATACGACTACTACGCGCCGCGCGAGGCCTCCAGGATTTGCATCACAACTCTTGACTTGTCCAAGACGCTGTTCAAGACGTGCGGCTTTACCGATTCTCCGAATACGAGGCGCTTTTAATTGGAGCGCGCCTGGCCGGCAAGGCTTGTGCAACCCTCCGGGGTCGGCCCTCCCCTCGATTCCGGCCACCCCTTCGCGGACGCACGCGTCCCCGAACAGCTGCCCCCAGAGGGCCCGAACAGGACTCCGAACTTGGTGACGGAGAGCGTCACGCCACGTGGCCAGTTCTGGCAACCCTGGCCGTCGGCGGCGAGGCAGACTTGGCTGCACCAGCGCTAAAGCTAAACGGGAGCGTCGAGAAGCGAATTGGCCAGCGTGCAAGAGCGGGGAGAAGACAGACGAGGCGGCCGCGGAGGGGGACCCTGAAGCCCCACATGCTGACGCCTCGTTTCTGCTTCCGCCGCCTTCCGCTGGCCTTCCGCCGGGAGGCCCGCCGCCGTTTCCCTTCCGCCGGCACCTTCCGCCCAGAGGCGAGGGTGCGCCGATGGCGAGGCACTCACCGGAACGCCTCACAAAAGCGACATCAGAACCCGACCCCCACCAACCACCGACTCTCCTGGATCGATGGGAGGCGAGGGTAGGTTTCGGATTTCGCCTCGTGTTCGACGAATTCCAAACCCTGCCCCGCCGCCCATCGAGACAACCTCAAGACCACCTTGTATATGGACGCCCTCCTTCTGGCGAAAGTATATCACTGCCACCCCTGGAAGTGATATACCACCCCCTTTTCCAACGAAAATGTTGCCCTCGCCTCAGCGCAGCGCGACTTCGTCATAAACGCTTGCAACAGCTTCAAGGATGGGGGGCGGGTCGTTTTCTTCAGAATGTAGCTATCGCCATAACATCGCGCACAGTCGTCTTCAAAACTTGCAAGAGCTTCACGGATGGAGGGAAGGTCTTTTTCAAAGTGTGATTATCGCTCGCGCACGTTCGCCTTCAAAGTTTGAAAGGGCTTCACGGATGGAGGGCGGATCTTTTTTTCTCAGGTTTGTGGTTATCGCCTTAGCGTCGCGTGCATTCGTTTCAACAATGTGCAACTGCTTCACGGATGGAGGGCGGGTCCTGTTCAGAATGCGGCTCTCGCCTGAGCGTCGCGCGCATTCGCTTTCAAAGTTTGGAAAAGCTTGACGGATGGAGGGTGGGACCTTTTAAAAAATGTGTTATCCCGCCTTAGCGCCGTGCGCTGTGGTTTTCGGAAACTTGAAAAAGCTTCCTTGATGGAGGGCGGTACCTTTTCAGAATGTGGATCTCGCTTTAGCACCACACATATTCGGCTTAAACATGTGCAAGAGATTCGCGGGTGGAAGGCGGGTCTCTTGAAAGTGTGCCCCTCGCCGTACCGTTGCGCTCATGCGTCTTCAAAGCTTGCAAAAGCTTCGCAGATGGATGGCGGCACCTTTCCAACATGAACCTCTCTCCATAGCGTCGCGCACATTCGTTTCAAACATTCGAAAAGGGATTCGCGGATGGAGGGCGAATCGTTCTCAACGTGTGGCTCTCGCCACAACTCCGCGCACATTCGCTTCCACACATTGCCAAAAGCTTCCCGGAGGGAGGGCGGGCCGCGGAAGTTTGACGGATGGAGGGCGGGTCCTTTTCAAAGCGTGATTCTAGCCTGAGCGACGCGCGCATTCATTTCAAAGATTCGCAACCGTTTCACAGATGGAGGGCTGGCCCTAGGCGAAATGTGATTCTCGCCTTAGCGTCGTGCGCGCTCGTCTTCAATGTGTGCACGAGCTTCTCGGATGGAGGGCAGGTCCTTTTCAAAACGTGCTTCTCGCCCTAGCGCCGCGCCCATCGACGCACAGGCGCCCCGAGCACCGCCCAGCACCGTCGCCCGACGACCGCAGTGCGTCCCGAGACGAGTCCAAGACGGCCCAGAGCCCACTAGGAGGGCCCCCCAAGGCATCTGCCTGCAGGGGGGGCCTCACGACGCCGAGATAACAGCGAGAAGCCGCCCATGGCACGAATACGGCGCCCATGCACCGCACCACGTCTGGACTCCGTTCAGGCACCGCTCCAACGGTGCACAGTCGGCCCGTATCACGAGGATGCGCGATGAGGATGCAGGGGCCTTGGATGGGGTCCTGAGGACGAGGTGCTTCAAGCAACGCAAATCCACCCTTATACCCCTCCCTATCCTTAGGACCCCCATCCCTCAGGGCCCCATCTTTGAACCACCGATGTACGGTGCAGAACTTTTCGTTTTTGTGGGTTGAGAAACTGCGCACGGCACCGGCCCTGGGCCCACCCAGTGGGCGGACGATGACGTCGGCCGAGGGCGCACGCCTGGCAGGGCCCGCACGCCAGGCCTGCAGACTGCCAGACCTCCTCGGGGCGCATCCCAGAGGCCACCGGGAGGCCCCCGTGGACACGCCCCATGGGGGGCCCTGCGAGGCCGAGAGGCCGAGAAGGATGGCGAACAGGAGTAAGATCTAAGCTTTCTGGAAAAAAGATCCCACCTCAAACGCATTGCTAAACATCTTCTAAAACATGTTTCAACTCCCCCGCGCCGGGGGGGGGGCGGCGCAGAATCAAATTCCTGGAGCCTCCGGTGCGCCGGAGGCTCTGGGAGGAAACAGCACGAACCGCCGATTGTACGAGAACGCCTCGCAGGGCCCGATTCAGGACTCCAGACTGCCAGAAGGTCGGCGCCGCCTCGGCCACAGTCGCGGCCTGCCGCCCGCAATCCCGGCGGTGGCGGAGCCCGCCCTTGTCTTATTGCCTCTCCACCAGCCTCGGCTTCCTGCAGACCGAGTAAGACGACGCCAGAACGGGGGAATCAACTGTTTATTTGGACGTGGGTTAGGGGCACTCCCTAACTCCCTTTCAAACTACAGACCGAAAGCGCGGCGAACGAGGCCCGAAGAAGAAACGAGTACACGAGGCGGGCAGGCAGGAAACACCCAGGACACTAAGAACGGGGCCAGCAGACAGGGACCGACCGAGCAAGCAGGACCGAGAACCTGCAGGGCCCACGGCGACAGTGACAACATCGGACAGGGCTAGATCTCGGGGATCTCTGAGGTCCGGCGGTTCTGGCGGATGCATCGGACGCCGCGGCCTGCTCAAAGCGCTCCCGGGAAGCTCTGAGAGCGCTCCGGGACGAGTTGCCCCTGGCCCATGGCCCCGCCTGGCGGGCGGCGGGGAGCGCCGCAGGCGGCCACATACATCGGGCGGGGCAGGGCCCTCAGCGCAGCAGGCGCTCGAATTCCTTGATGACGGTGCGGCCGAAGGCGCCGCGCTCGGAGGGCGGCATCTTCACGATGTTCTGCAGGGAGAGGGCGAGCGACTTCTCGATCCTCAGGACTGCGGCCGCGCTGTTCAGCGTGAAGAGCTGGCCTGCCGAAGAGGAGCGGGAGGCGGTTGGGGGAGGGACACAGGGATCGACGGGGTGAGGGGCGCCACAGACCTGCGGAATCTCCAAGCCTTCAAGACGGCTGTGCTTCATGCGTTCCGCGCGGCCGCCTCCGGGACCTTGGAACGTCTGAACGCTGCTCGGGGTGAGGGGACAGGTCGGGACTTCCAGAGACCCCGCGTAAAACAAGACATCGGATGTCTGGGGAAGCGGGGGGGAAGGATAAACACGACGACAGAGATGAGGAACATCGGCAGCAGGGCCAGGACGTTGAACAGCAGCACGCCAAGTTCGTGTCGTGACGACGTCGACGTTGGTCTCTGACACCTCGCGAGTCGGTCGCCCTTGAACGATCATGGCCGTCCCACATCACAGTTCGTTCGATATCGGCCGAATCTGGGCCACTGGCAGCGTTCAACCTTGAACGCCCGCGCTTGGGTCGCCGCCGCGTCGACACGACACGCACCTGCCTGAGGGCAGACGACAAGGGTGGGGGACTGCCCCACGGGCAGAGACATTGACTTAAAATCGGCGACACATCTCCGATAGATCGGCGATGCGCCCGCGATCGCAGGACCGACTGATGGAATCCGAAACCTGGAAAGCAGGGCGCCAGAAGGGCGAGCAAAGAGCTCTCGCAGAAGCTGGAGAAGATCATGGAAGGAACTTCCGAAAGAACTGCTGGAGAATTTCCGGGCAGACGTATTGGGAAACGCTCAGAAAAAGCCTGCCGGAACACGCTGGTAGCTCAGGCAAGGCGCGCCGAAGTGTCCTGCCGGAAGCCCGAACGAGCTCTGGGGCTACCCTGCGGCTCCGGCTTCTTAGTCTGAGACCCTCCTAGCTCTCACAGAGCTGCCCGGGAAACGCACCTACCTGAGAGGAAACGACAAAGGGGGGGGGACTGCCGCATGGGCAGAGACACTGACTTGGAATCGGCGACACGTCTCCGATGGATCGGCGACGCGCCCGCGATCGAGGAGCCGAACGTACCTGCGCGGGATGGGGCACCCGCGCCCCGATTCGCGTCGAAAGTGACGCTTGGGGACCGATGCCTCCCCGCCCGGGCCGGCTCCTCCCCCCCTGGGGTCCGCAGGATCAGCTGGGCTGATCCAGGATCTTGTGAAGTACAAAATCTGATCCAAACATACAAATCTGATCCGACCCCAAAAAACACAAACATCTGATCCAAGCCATAAAATCTGATCCAAGCCATCAAATCTGATCCGAACCATAAAATTTGATCCGAGCCTCTGTGCGCATGTATGCATGCACATACACATATACATACATATATACACATACATGAACGTATCCATGTATATATGTATATATATACACACATATATACATGTACATATATGCATACGTATACATACACACAAATATATGTATATACATACACATATGCATATGCAGATACGTATACATATACATCAACATAATTATGTATATATGCACATATATAGAAATATACATATATATGTGTCTCTATGTACATCTACATATACTAACACGCCAGTGGGCCACCGTTTGTCAGGCGGCCCGTGGATTACGCCTTCGTGGCCCACGCTTGCTAGTGGGCAGGCGGTTTTGTTCTCTTGGGGTCATCGGCACTTTTTGGGTCCGTATACCACAGAGATTGCACCACATGGTTGTATGTATATACGCCTGTGGGCCGCCGTTCGTCAGGCGGCCCGTGGATTACGCCTTCGTGGCCCACGCTTGCTAGTGGGCAGGCGGTTTTGTTCTCGTGGGGTCATCGGCACTTTGGGGGGCCATACACCACAGAGATTGCACCACCTAGACACATATATGGTTGTATGTATACACGCCTGTGGGCCGCCGTTCGTCAGGCGGCCCGTGGATTACGCCTTCGTGGCCCACGCTGGCTAGTGGGCAGGCGGTTTTGTTCTCTTGAGGCCATCGGCACTTTTTGGGGCCGTATACCACAGAGATTGCACCACATTGACACATATATATGTGTGTATGTATATCGACATATACTAATACGCAAGTGGGCCGAAGTTCGTCAGACGGCCCGTGGATTACGCATTCGTGACCCACGCTTGCTAGTGGGCAGGCGGTGTTGCTCTCGTGGGGTCATCGGCACTTTGTGGGGCCATACACCACAGAGATTGCACCACATAGACACATATGCTTGCATGTATATCTACATATACTAACACGCCTGTGGGCCGCCGTTCGTCAGGCGGCCCGTGGATTACGCCTTCGTGGCCCACGCTTGCTAGTGGGCAGGCGGTTTTGTTCTCTTGGGGTCATCGGCCCTGTTTGGGGCCGTATACCACAGAGATTGCACCACATAGGCACAAATATGTTTGCATGTATACCTACATATACTAACACGCTAGTGGGCAGCCGTTCGTCAGGCGGCCCGTGTAGTACGCCTTCGTGGCCCACGCTTGCTAGTGGACAGGCGAGTTTGTTCTCTTGGGGTCATCGGCGCGTGTTGGGGCCATATACCATAGAAATTGCACCACCTAGATTGTACCATGTAGCTTACACCACGTAGATGACACCACATACATTACACCAGGGTGTATCACCCAAGTGCTAGAAACACACTGTTTGGGGTACACGCTGGAAGATGCACGTTCCAGACCCCAGCCCGTCCCTCCTCTATCGGCGGTTCGGCTCGAACGGTTTCAGGATGCAGAAATGACCCCCAAAAAAGAGAGGCATCCAGACTCGAGCGGAGATGGGCAACTCACTGCGCTCGAGCAAGCCATCGTAGACGCTCTGCCCACGTCCGCCCTCATTCCGTACCGTGAAGAGATGTGCGGCTCTCGCGACACAGATGTCATACAGCAATACAAGTCAGTGCTGCTACTCATGGGCGGGATCAACTCGCCCACCGCCATAGCCGCGTTCAAGCGGGCGGGCTTGCACAACGACTCCAAGTGGAAGTTAGGACGTGAGTTGCAGGGGTGGGCGGAGAAACAAGCCAAACGGGCGAGAGCAGCACGACGTGACGTAGACCAGGCCATGTTGAAGTACAACGAGGCCCGCAAGAAAGACGAGTCCAAAGAACCGCAGGACTGGCTCATGCCGTTTTGGCGAGCGGCGCAGGAGCAGAGCACGGACACCGCTCCGACCGACCTGGTCTACAACCATCGCTTCAAAGCTGATGAGATGGTGGCATACAGAGAGATGCAGGGCACCGACGCGTGCCCCATTGCCGAGCCGAGCTTGCACGTGGAGCTGTCCGAGACGTACAACCCCGAGGACTGGGCCATCGCCAAGTGGCACGACGGCTACGAGTGGGAGATGAAGGGCGAAACTACATGGGCAATGGTCAAGGAGCTGAGCAGCGGCACCACAGGCGGCAGTGCACGGCCATACTTGCTCGAGCTGACGGGAGCAAACGGCAACACGTGGCGCCTCTTGCGCCAAACGGAGAGGCGCAGGGGCGACAGCACGAGAGGTAATGTGCCAGACGTGGAGATGTTGAGGATACAGGAATGCGTAGACGGCAAGACGGCGTGGAGATTGCAGATGGTGGTCACTACGTTCAGTTAATCCCAAATCAGCGCAGCAGCAGAGAAGATGAAGGATATATGCACACGGATGGCCAGTGGTGACCTCGTGAAAAAGGACGCGGAGACCGAGAAAGCAGAGTTCAAGAAGGAGTTGTTGGACATGGAGGACAAGCCCACGAAGCCTCTACAAAAACGACCAGCAGCAGCGACAGCAGATGACGGCGATCCCGATGATGATCAAGGTGCAGCCGTCACGAAGAGGCCAGCCATGCAGCAGCCACGTGCGACAGAGCCAGAGACGAATGCACCTGGAGAAGCAGAGCCAGAGCCAGATGAGGCAGCACCACATGAAGAAGCAGAGCCAGAGCCAGCTGTACCACTTACGCGACCTGCAGGAGATCAGCCACGTGCAGGTGGACCAGCCAAGCGACGACCTGCAGCAGCTGAGCCAGGTGCAGCAGCTGAGCCAGATGCAGCAGCTGAGCCAGATGCAGCATCTCAGCCTGATGTAGCAGCTGGGCCAGATGCTGCTGGAGTGCCGAAGGACGGCGCACGGGAAAAGCGGAATGGAGAGGGCGACGAGGAGATGAGGGAGGATAAGAGGGATGAGGATGATGATGATGAAGAGGAGGAGGAGGAGGAAAAGGAGGAGGAAGAGGAGGAGGAGGAGGAGGAGGAGGGAGAGGAGGAGGAAGATGAGGAGGACGAAGAGGAAGAGGCGGATGGGGAGGATGGGGATGGGGAAGCTGAGGAGGATCAGCCCCAGCAGCAAGGAGCAGAGCAACAGCGAGAGCGACGACCCCCTGAGCATGCCGCCGCCAGAGAGCTTGCTCCAGCAGGCGAGGACGCTGCACGTCAGGGGGAGCCTCACCCTGTGATCGCCCGCCGCTGCGCGGGCGACATGTGACAGCTCTAACTGGGGGCGGCGTGAAAAATGCAGCGTCGAGGACGGGGTCGAGGGGGCGCGAAGATAATCGCGGCCTGGCTTTCTCAAAAGCATCAGCCCGTCTCCAGGGGGGGCTCGCGATGGCGCGAAGATTGCTGACCTAGGGGGTTGGGTAAACCGTCGGGCCCCAAGGAAGCCTCTGCGAGGAACACGGGGGCAGCGCTAGGGGCTGGGAGGAGGAAGGAAGATGAGGATGAGGATGAGGATGCCGATGATGATGATGATGATGATGATGATGATGATGATGATGATGATGATGTTGATGATGATGATGATGATGATGAGGAGGAGGAGGAGGAGGAGGACCAGAAAGAACCCAAGATGTATCAACGATGCTGCTATATACTATTCCGTTCCGTACCCCCTCATAAGTCCATGCATGTCCCCGACGCACCCCGACAGTCACGACTGAACTCCGTAGCACTCGAGGCTGAGGTGTTAATGAAAATCGAGTACAACTCTCCGATTCGCAAGAACTTTTGGTCGACCCCTCTAGGGAGGGGATTATTGCGCGCGTCGGCCATGGAGGACGCTGGAGCAC